GGGAAGAGGAAAAGCAAAATAATCTTCTCCTTATCTTTATTGCTGCTTTAAGTATTATATATATTAAAAATAATATATATTTTCTTCGTCCCATTGAATCGCGCTTATTCTCGCTTGATGTATTTATAAGTACTTCTTTCGTAACTTCCTTTTAAAGCGTTAAAGGGATTTTAAAGCGCGAATTGTTTGGCTTTTAGCTTAATTTGTATAAAGAGTGGTTTAAGATATTGCATGCTTAGTTAGATTGGATTAGATTAAATAATTTAATTTAATTAAGTAATTTGTTTTAGTTCGTTATAAAAAAAAAGATTTTATTTTTTTATTTTTTTATTAGTTTTTATTAAAGAAGGAAAGAAGGAAGAGTAAGGGGAAGAGAAAGGAAGAGAAAGGAAGAAAAGCAAAGTAATCTTCTCCTTATCTTAATTGCTGCTCCAACTATTATATATATTCAAAATAATATATATATTTTCTTCTTCCTTTTGAGTCGCGCTTATTTTCGCTTAATATATCTTAAACTACTTCTTTCGTAACTTCCTTTCAAAGCGTTGGAGGGATTTTAGAGCGCGAATTGTTTGGTTTTAGCTTAATTTATATAAAGACTAGTTTAAGATTCTGTATGCTTAGTTAAATTTGATTGGATTAAATAGATTAGTTTAGTTAAGTGTTTTGATTTAGTTCGTTATAAAAAAAAGCTCTTGTTTATTTATTGTTATTGTTATTGTTAGTTTTTGCTAAAGAAGGAGAGAAAAAGGAGGAAGAAGAAAAGCAAAATCATCTTTTCTTTATCTCTATTGCTGCTGCAACTATTATACATATTCAAAGTAATATGTATATTCTTCTTCTCTTTAAATCGCGCTTATTCTCGCTTAATATATCTTAAACTACTTCTTTCGTGACTTCCTTTCAAAGCGTTAAAGGGATTTTAAAGCGCGAATTGTTTATCTTTTAGCTTAATTTGTATAAGGAGTGGTTTAGGGTTTTATATGCTTGGTTAGATTGGATTGGATTAGATGGATTAGTTGGGTGTTTTGGTTTGGTTCGTTGTAGAGAGAGAGAGGGCTTTTGGTTATTTATTATTATTGTTTTTATTGTTGGTTTTCGCTGAAGGGGGAGAAAGGGGGGGGGGAAGGGGGAGAGAGAGGAGGAAGAGCAAAATCATCCTCTTCCTAAGTTTCGTTGCTGCTGCGAGTACTATGTATATATGTATGTATGAAATAGGATGTGTTGTTTTCATCTCTCTCTCTTTCTCTCTCTCGTTACGTACAGTCAATCAGTCAGTCACCTCACCTCACCTCACCTCACCTCTCTCTCTCCGACCTGCTCACGCATCAATCAATAAACATCTTACCTTTTTTTTTTTTTTTTTTTTTTTTTTCTTCCTTAGCAGATCTCTCCCTACCAATACTTTTTGACTAAGCTTTACAACTTTCTCGTGATCATATTGACCTTGATCATAAGGAGGTGGGGTAGGTAGGTAGGTAGGTGAGCTTTGGAAGAGGTGAAGAGGTGAAGGAAAGAAATTTTTGATGGGAAAAATTAAGAAGAAAAGAGAAAATTTGAAGAAAAAAAGAGGAAGAAAAATTGAGGTTTCGATGCGGTAACGAGGAATGGCGTGTGGGGTAATGATGCGTGGGGGGGTCTTGTTTTGTATTATTGTTGGTTGTTGTTGTTGTTGCTGTTCTTGGATGGGGTTGGTGAGGAGGAGAAATACCTGGGACCTGGGGGAGGAGGTGGGGGGAGAGAGAGAGAGAGAGAGAGAGAGAGAGAGAGAGAGAGAGAGAGAAGAAAGAAAGAAAGAGAGAGAGAGAGAG